TGTTACCTAGCCTCTCTGGGACTGTGGATTGTAGCATTTACTTTACAGCTAATATCCATTTATGAGTGAGTGCATATCGTACTTGTCTTCCTGGGTCTGGGTTACTACACTCAGGATTTTTTTTTTTCTAATTCCTGATGTTTCGTTATTTATTTATTTAAATTTGAAACAAGCTTGTTTTACATGTCAATCCCAGTTCCCACACCCTCCCATCCTCCCCTGTTTCCCCCACAAACCTCCATCCCATCCCCTTTCTGCTCCCCAGGGAGGGTAAGACCTTGCATGGAGAGTCCTCAAAGTCTGTCATATCATTTGGAGCAGGGCCCAGGCCCTTCCCCATGTGTCTAGGCTGAGGGAGTATCCTTCTATGTAGAAAGGGCTCCCAGAGTCCATTCATATACTGGGGATAAATACTGATCCACTACCAGAGGCCCCACAGACTGCCCAGTCCTCCCAAGTAACACCATATTCAGGGAATCTGGGTCAGTCCTATGCTGGTTTCCCAGCTATCAGACTGGAGTCCATGAGCTCCGCCTTGTTCAGGTGAGCAGTTTCTGTGGGTTTCTGCACCCTGATCTTGACCCATTTGCCCATCACTCCTCCATCTCTGCAACTGGATTCCAGAAGTTTGGCTCAGTGTTTAGCTGTGGGTATCTGCTTCTGCTTCCATCAGCTACTGGATGAAGGCTCTAGAATGGCATATAAGGTAGTCATTAATCTCATTATCAGGGAAGGGCATTTAAGGTAGCTTTCCACTAATGCTTAGCATGTTAGTTGTAGGTCTCTGGGCATTTCCCTACTGCCAGATTTCTCTTAAAACCTATGAGTGGCCCCATCTATTATGGTATCTCTTGTCTTGCTTTCCCTTATTCTTTCCCTGACTAAATTTTCCTGCTCCCTCATGCCCACCTCTCCCCTGCTCTTCCTCCTAACTCCCTCTCCCCTCCCTCCATGCTTCCAATTTGCTTGAAAGAGCTTATCCCTTTCCCCTTCTCCAGGGGACCATGTATGTCTCTCTTAGAGTCCCTCTTGTTTCCTAGCTTTTCTGGAGGTGTGGACTGTGGTGATCCTTTGCTCTATGTCTGAAAACCATATATGAGTGAGTACATACCATGTTTGTCCTTTTGTGACTGGGTTACCTCACCCAGGATGGTTTCTTCTAGTTCCATCCATTTGCCTGCGAATTCCAAGACTCCGTTGTTTTTGTTTTTTTTTTTTTTTTTCAGCTGAGTAATATTCCGTTGTGTAAATGTGCCACACCTTCTTTATCCGTTCAGTTAAGGGACATTTAGGTTGCTTCCAGGTTCTGACTACTACAAATAATGCTGCTATGAACATAGACAGATGTCCTTGTTGTATGAATGTGCATCTTTTTGATATATGCCTAAGAGTTGAATTACTGGATCTTGAGGTAGACTGATTCACTTTCCTGAGGAACTGCCATACTGATTTCCAAAGTGGCTGTACAAGTTTGCACTCCCACCAGCAGCGGAGGAGTGTTCCCCTCTCTCCACATCCTCCCCAACATAAACTGTCTTTGATGTTTTTGTTTTTAGCCATTCTGACAGGAGTAAGACGGTATCTCAGAGTTGTTTTAAGCTGCATTTCCCTGATGGCTAAGGATGTTGAACACTTTCTTAAGTGTCCTTCAGCCATTTTATATTCCTCTATTGAGTATTCTCTATTTAGTTCTGTACCTCACTTTTTAATTGGATTATTTGGTGTTTTGGTAACTAGCTTCTTTGTATATTTTGGAGATCAGCCCTCTGTCAGATGTGGGGTTGGTGAAGATGTTTACCCATTCTGTGGGCTGCCGTTTTGTCTTGTTGACTGTGCCCTTTGCTTACCTATCCAAGAGCATAGGAGATCTTTCCATTTTCTAGTATCTTCTTTAATTTCTTTCTTTAAAGACACATTGGAAGTCAGTCTACCTCAAGACCCAGCTATACCAATATTGGGCTTATACCCAAAGGGTGCTCAATAATAAACATTTTCTTTTTTAAATATTTTTTATTTATTTTACATACATTCCCCCTTCCTCCTCTCTTCCGGTTCTCTCCCCAGCTTCCCAGGACTCCTATATACCTCCCTCCCCATTCACTCCTCCTCTGTCTCCATTCTGAAAGGGGCAGGCCTCCCATGGGCTTGAATTAAGCATGACGCATCAAGTGGAGGTAGGACTGAACTCCTTCCCCTGCATCAAGGCTGGGCAAAGTAATCTAGCATGGGGAACAGGTTCTCAAAAACCAGCTAAGCACCAGGTACAAGTCCCGATCTCACTACTAGGGGCCTTACAGACAGACCAAGCTACACAACTGTCACACACATACAGAGGGCCTAGGGCAGCCCCATGCAGGCTCCTTAACTGTTGGTTCAGAATCCATGAGCTCCCACATACTCAGGTCAGCTGTCTCTGTGGTTTTCCCCATCATGACCTTGACCCCCACACACCTCCCTTTATTCAGGAGGACTCCCAGAGCTCAGGCCAGTGCTGGGTTCCCTGCATCTGCTTCCATCAGTTACTGGATGGAGTATCTGATTAGAGTAGATGGCCAGTCCAGGCACCCTCTCCATTATTGCTATGAGTCTTAGCTGGGGTCATCCTTGTGGATTCCTGGGGGTTTCCCTGACCCTGGGAATAAACCTTTTCTTTAACTCCTGAGGAATCAATGGATATCTTGGCCAGTGGCCTCAGAATCTTTTAACAGTTTGCCAAGAGAGTGGGTGGGTACATACTTTTTGATCTTTGGAATGATCAAAGGCAGCATGAGAAAACTCTCAAGCAAAAGGGACATTCAAACCTTCTTTGTTCCACAAACTTAACAGTGAAAAAAAAGTTAAAGTATCTTCCTTTAATTGAGAGTTTCACCATCCAGTTCCATATCAGAATGGCAAGGTTCTAGTAGCTTATTTTCAACCAAATCACCCTGATTCAGTCTCTCTCTCTCTCTCTCTCTCTCTCTCTCTCTCTCTCTCTCTCTCTGTGTGTGTGTGTGTGTGTGTGTGTGTGTGTGTGTGTGTGTGTGTGTGTGTGTTTTCTTTCATGGTTGTTGACATTCATTGTTTTTCCTATCCTGCTAATCAGCCTAATCTATTAAGCCTTTGCCTGGACATATGCAACCACCATCTTGTGTTCCTTCTTATATGCAAGCTTAAAAAAGGTTGCTTACAGACACACTTCCATAGTCTTGTGGGCTTGAGGACCAGTGGGTGCCACTTGAAGAACCCCAGTTTGGGTGATGGACAGGTGGGAAAGGGTTGAGATCAGCAATGGAGTTAGCATAGCAGTGAACAAGCAGCTTGGAGCTTATAAACATACAGACTCAGCCCCCAAATATGCTGCCTGGCTACAGGATTGCCCTGGCTCTGGGCCATGATGGAGGCCCAAGATGATGAGGAATATTTCAGTTTTTGGATTGAACCTCATTGAAGGGCCACCATGGCCCCTGATGTCACCGACAGCCATGTGTGGGTCAGTGGCCCTGATGTGGTGGGGGCTAGGTTCATGTTCAAGGCTAGTGTTACTACCTAGTGCATGTGTATGTCCATGGTCCATGCCATAGATGAAGCCATGTTGATGTCCTTGAGCCATGCTGCTGTCAGGGACCATGTTGATATGTATGGCTTGTACTTCCATTTGAGGCAATGGTAATTTCTGGATCAGAGCTGTCACATAGGGCCATGTCTGGGTCTGAGGCCCTGTCGCAGATGGGGTCTGTGTTAATTACTAACCCATTCTTGTTCATCTAATATTTCCATGTGGTCTCATCTTACCGGAGAGAGAGACTGCCGGTGTTCTGCTCTCTCTGTCTCTCCATGTTGACTCCTCCTTACTACTTCCGCAAATCCTCCTCATTTCCTAGTCCCGCCTGTCTTGCTTTCCTATTGGCCAACAGTGCTTTATTCATTAACCAGTATGAGAAACATATTTACAGAATGACATCTCCCATCATCTCCTCTTTTCTGCCTAAATAAAAAGAACGGTTTTAACCTTAAGCATAGCAAAATATATCCCACAATAGTTATCAAGTAAGAATCACAGTTAACAATATTTAGTCCATTAACATTTAGCAAGATGTAAGAAAATATCCCATCATCTATTCTATCTTTGTGAATCTAAACTCCTATATGTAACTTATCTTTAATCCTAACTAAGGAAAACTATAACCATAACTATAACCATAAGCAAGATAGGCAGGACTAGGAGACAAGGAGGAAAGAGGAAGGAGTAGGGAGGAGTCAACATGGAGAGACTGGGGAGAACAGATGCCAGCCCGACTCTCCAGTAAGATGATGAGATCATGTGGAAATACTTAGATTAATAGAAATGGGTTAATAATTAAGATAGAGCTAGCCGATATGAAACAAGTACCTGGCCAACAGAATTATATCAAATACAGAGTCTCTGTGTGTTAATTGGGACCAGCGGGACCAGACCGGCTACAGGAAAAACCTTACTCCTTACACAGTTTTCTTGACTACATTTTAAAAACAAAAGCTATGCAGCCAGGGATGTAGTTAAGGAGTAGGGAAATTGTATAGCATATATGAAGTGTGGGGTTATGTCACCAGCAGTACACTAAAATAAAGGTTGCAGGTCAAGTGAGTGATGCTTGAAGAAAATGGGAAGAATACATACGAGGTCATTTTACACCTTTTCCCAATCCCAAATATAAACCTCTCTGGCCTTCTAATTGGCGAATATTCCAAAGAGTCTGGTCTGGGATGCCCCTGGAGCCATTACCCTGTCTGTTAAACTTAACCCCAGAAGAGCTAACAGATGTGTTTCATTTACAAACTTGTGTCAACTTGGGCTTCTCTCTCATGTAAGAGCGGCAAATATCTATACGCAAATGGATATTCCTGTTACCAAAACTGGACTGTGACCTCGCCCAGAATTTTAGTAGCTTTACCATTGTTGGTTGATTGCTTGTTTTTGTTTGGCAAGTGGAAGAGGATTTCTCTACTGGTTCGGCAGCCAAACAAGGCTAAAAAAGGGCTTACTCTGGCTTCAAGATGGAAAGCAGTTGATCTCCAAGCTCTGGAACAGCTTCATAGCCCCTCCCTGGAACTGAGTGTGGAGCAGTGACACTCGCTGGTGAAGAAAGAAGGCCACTACCAAGCTCTCTGCCACCTGCAACTCTTGACTTGACCGTCTCCATCATCCCCTCAAGAGATCTGAAGGTGGATGACTTCTTCACGTCTTCAAGCTTTCTGCAAATGCCAGAGCCCACCGAGGTCAAGGCGGGTGAAGTCTTTTCCTTCATGCAGGCGTTGGAGGCCTGGGCATCATGCCAGTTCTTGGACGGATTCTGCCTTAGTCCCACCAAGGCCACGCATCCTAAATTCTTCCTGAGTTCCCCACACTGCTTCTCTTTGGCTGCCAGCATGTTGCGTAATGTTAGGATCTCTTCCTCCAATTTAGTGAGCTTAGATTTGAGCTCCATTTGTTCAGCCTCGGTCAAGTCTGGTTCTGAAGCTGGGTGGGATTCATATGTGGATGCAGAGGGCTCTGCCATGGCATCTAGAACAGAAAGGGAAACGTTTTCATCCAGGGAGTCCAGGTCCAGCACTGGTTTGTGGAGAAGTAGGGCTGGAGGAGTTGTAGTCTAGACCTGCAGGCTCAGAATTCTCACCAGTGAGATAGGAGTCTAGGTGAGACGGGTCCGTATCTTTGGCAGCAAAACTCATGCGCTGGCTAGCGAGTCTGTGTCCTTGCGAGAAGAGTGGATGCTTAGAATGGGGATCCACTTCCCGTTAGTAGGGGTTGGATGTGGGGGAGGAGGAAACCATAGACTTCCGGCCCAAAGGGCTGCCAGTCATCCAGCACCTTTCTCCATCGAGGACTGCTCTGTAGAGGTGTTTCAGGGGATTGTTTCTGCATCACAAGTACCTTGTGAGGTAGACAGAGCCCACATTATTGTTGAGAGAAATCTCTTTTCCTCTAGCAGTAGTGACATAGGCCAGGTGTTCACACCAAAGTGTGTGCTGCCCCTTTTCTACCACACAAGTAATTTTCAAACCCTCAGAGATCAATAAGAGGTTATGCTAACAGGAAACTCAGAGCATAGGTAACTTAAGATGGGGTGTGGAGCTCAAAACTTCCATGCTTGCCCGCCTCCCCATCTTCTGGACCCAGGTTTCCAAAGAAGCCCCGAGAAACTCCGTCAACTCTTAAGGTAGATTTGAAAGAACCACAGAAATTAGTACTGGGTAATACAATCCCAGTGAGGTATCAGCAGTGTCGGAGGGCTGCAAAGCAGTGTTCGGAGAGTAAGTCTGGGCAGCCATGGTTGGCTTAGTTTGAGTGATGAGTGGAAGAGAACAGTAAACCGGGAATAGTGGGTTTTATTTGTTTGTTTGCTTTGGGTTTTGCTTTGTTTTAGATTTAGACTCTTTGAAAGTAAAGACTAATTTTTAATACCGAGGTTGTGTTTTCTTTTCCCTACCTGCATCTATTCATACTTATGAAAGCATGCCTGCCTACATTTAATGGTTGTCAGTTGTGGGAGCTGGTCTACCCAGCAAACCAGAGCCTCAACCTCAGATGGAGTCTGAGAGGGCAACCCACTCCTTGCCTCAGTTCATCCAGAGTTTGTAACTCATAAGCAGAGGGATCAGAACGCTAATTCAAGAAGAACATGTGTCAAGTATCACTTAGCTCCTTGTCTGGTTGCCTATACCCAGGAAATATCATTGATCAAGCCTTAGACCTAGTGATCTTGTTGAATATTCTGCTTATCTTTGCAAGCATGACATTGTGGAACATAATACATCCCTCCACAATTTTATTTATTTATTTAAATTAATTAATTAATTTATTTATTTAATTTTTTATTTTGATTTTTCAAAATAGGGTTTCTCTGTGTAGCGCCGACTGCCCTAGACCAGGCTGGCCTCAAACTCAGAGAGATCCGCTTTCCTCTGCCTCCTGAGTGCTGGGATTAAAGGTGTGTGTCCATAGCTGCATCCAAGCCAACTTTATATTCAGTAACCCTTTCACCCAACCTGGTAGTGCTTTAAAAAGGATATTTATTTTTGTTTTATTGAGTGTATGAAGTCTGGGGGGCGGTAATTGCCTGTGTGTACGAAGTCCTGAAAGTACAGCAACACATCCCTAAACCCTGTTTTGTGTCTGGATAGACTTTTCCTCCTTTGCCTATTTAAACTCTAGTGGTTGCAATACTTCCAGACTCGGACTGCTCTCTGCTCATCCACAACTGATAATTAAAGGTTTTTTAAAGCAAAAATCCCCTGGATTAAGCTAGTTAAGTTAACATGGCCATACATTGGTCATTCAGAATTGACATTTCAAATTACCAGGTCGGAACTGGAACTTCTACCTGATATTTTCCCTCCTTGGATTGCTTTGACCACTAACCTCGCCGTCCATTTTCTTGTGTTTTATGTTTCCCCACTCTTCACTTAAAACCACAATTCTTTGTTAGCTTTGATTCCATTTGATGCAGTAATGATTTTTTTTTTCTCATAGGAAAACTGAGTTGGCTCATTTCTAAGCACTGGTTTCCAGATCCCAGATCAAGACATGGCATCTCAAAGGAGGCTCCTAGTTGGCAGTGTTCTGGCCTCCCAAGCAAACCTAGATAAATAAGAGGAATAGTGGGACAGCCTATTCTGTTAGGCTTATGTTTAACCATATCCAAAATATTTATATTTTGAGAAGGATCTATTAAATGAAGCTTTGTTTAGTTTACAGGATTCCTAATCAGTCATTTTCAAAGCTATCCTTTTAAGGTATAAAAATAGCACACAGTGAAATAAATCTGTGTGACATAAAAAGACATGAAACTCCTCATCAGAAACTGAAAGCTTTTTGAATCTATTTAGTCAACAACAATTCAGGAACAAAGCCGAAGCTGTTAATGACATATATTTAGTAATTTGATAAACCCTTTATCAAAGTCCCTCCAAATGTAAAAAGTAAATGGAAATTTAAAGAAAAAAAAATTTGTATGTGTAGAAACATGTCTATTTTATTAATAAAAATTCTTGAATATAAATTCAAACAGCCCCCCCCCAACTAGAGAGCCTATCCAGACATTTGGCTAAAGTTTCTCTCTTTACATACTGGGAAAGTCCCTTTTAACATATTGGGAAAGGATAGCATTGTGGAAAATAAACCCTACAAAAGAATGTAGATAAAGCTGGCCTGCAAGTCAGGAAATGCTTGGTTCATTACTTAGGGGTAGATACAGGTTGTCTGGCCCTGTCAAAGACAAACTTGGCATATTTCTCTACTTATGATCTAGAAATGCAGAAGATGCTCTAGAAGAGAGCTGGGGCTGGACACAATTCAGATTTCCACTCTGTTCTCATGACCCTCCAGCCTACATTCTGCCTGAGTGGCATGCCTTTCCAGCAGAGGCATAGACCATGCTATACCCTAAGGAGCTAGTGGCATGTTTCTGTATGTATGACTCATTAGTGAAAAGGAAAGTTTGTCTGCAGACTATGCAGATCTTGAGTATCAGGAGACTGGGTTCTGTAAGGGCAGGGTTCAGAGTGGTGGCAGGCATCCTTCTCTGAAGTAGCTGGGTACAGGGTGTTTGTCTGCCTAAAAAAGAGAACTGAGATACCAGAAGTGTTAACCCTGAGCAAAGAGGACTCCCAGAAATAACAGAGAGGAGATTCAGAGTGGTGTGTGTGTGTGTGTGTGTGTGTGTGTGTGTGTGTGTGTGTGTGCGCGCGCGCGTGCATGCATGCATGCATGCATGCATGAACAGCGTTTATATGTGCCTGTATGCTACAGTCCCGAAGCTCAGCATTGAAGGGTTAGAGTCAGCAAATTGGGACCACAGCATTCTGACTCTTGTTTCTAAGGCTGCAGGTGCCTGAAGGCTATCAATAGAACTTCCAGACCTTTTAAAGGTTATGATCACTGTGGTGGCTTTGCTGCAATGCAAAAACAACCCCACCATACCCTGGACTACACTCCATAGCAGCTTCACTCCATAGCAGCTTAGCTATTCTTGTCTTAAAACTGCCATGCCTGCTATGGCAACGGTATGATAATTACTATTTTTCTCAATCCTGGGGCACAATCAGTTATACGGCACATCTTCACTTTACTAAGAGCTTTCTAGAAGGAAAAACCAACAATATTAAATTGCAGGTTGATTTCTAAGATGAAATTCTGATTTTGGAGACGATAAAATGCCCCCAAATAGATATTTTGAAACTGGGGAACTGCAGTAGTGATCAGCAGCTGCAGACATCAGCACCCTTGGTTCTGCTACAGCTGAGGCTGGGCTGGGCTGTCAGTCTTCTTCCCATTCTGAGGGAGGAGACAGGCGAGGAAGTGCTTTTTGTTCATCTCCGCTATAATAATAAATCTAACGGAAGAGGAACAAAGGATATTGATATTTATGTTTGGAAATGCCACAATGAAACCCTTTATTTTACATACCAACTTAAAAATTAAAACAACAGAGGCCAATATGTAAAATAATAAAAATAAATAATAAAAATGAATGAATGAATAAATAAATAAATAAATAAAATGGCAGAGACAGCTAATGTTTACTGACTATGCCTCAGGAATTGTTAATGTTTTCACATTAGTTCGCTCCTTAATATTCTTGGTTCTTTCTTTCTTTCCTCATCTTTCTTTCTTTTCTTTTCTTTCTTTTTTTTTTCTTTTTGAGATAGGGTGTCTCTGTATAGTCCTGGCTGCCCTGGAACTCGCTCTGTAGACTAGGCTGGTTTTGAACTCAGAGATGCCCCTGTCTCTGCCTCCCGAGTGCTTGGATTAAAGGTGTGCACCACCACTGCTTGACTCAACCCCAAATATTCTTGAGATAGCCATATAAAAATACTATTAGGGGCCTGGGCAGATGGCTCCACAAGTAAAGTACTTGCTGAACCAGTGTGAGAACCTGAGTTCAAATCCCCAGACCAGTGTAAAAGCTGGGTTCAGTGTTCTACAGCAAGATGGGAGGTACAGACGGGAGAATGCCCTGAAACTTGTGGGCCATCCAAACTTGGTATATGCAACAATAAACAACAGAGACACCTTACCTCAAGCAAAGTAGAAGGCAAAGACTGACCTTCACATGTGTGCCTTGGCATGCAGATCTATACTCACCTACATAAATGTGTGCATGCACACACACATACATACATCACACATATGCAATGTATATCACACATTTTTACACACATATACATCATATACTTTTCTAGTTTACTTTCTGTTGCTGTGTAAATACCCTGAGCAAAAGTAACCTTATGCAAGAAAGGACATATTTGACATACAGCTCCCAGGTCACAATGTGTTATTAACTTGCACACAAGCCTGCTTGGTGTTCCAACCAGCATTATCTCTGACCAAGAAGTTCACTTTATAACAACAACAACAAAAAAATACAGCAGGAAGCATGAAGGTTCTGCTTGCCGGCTGGCAGGCAAATATGCTCAGCTAGCATTCGTGTACAGTGTAGGACCTGGTGCCTAGGGCGTTGTGTTGCCCACAGTGGGCTGAGATCTCTTATATCAATTAATAATTGAGACTTTCTTCCCAGATAATCCTAGATTACATCAGATTGACCAGTTAAGACTAACCAGGTAGTAGACACACACACACACACACACACACACACACACACACACACACACACCCCACACACACACAGAGTATGAAAAATGCTAGAAGCTGTATCAAAGGCTTTAAA